TTTTTTAGTAGCTTTTCTAAGCTTATTTATTGTTAGTGCATTGAGGTGTGTATGTGTATGATGGAGGTGCACATGTGCGATAGTGTGCATGTGGAGGTCAGAGGACAACTCTGGAGTCCGTTCTCTCCTGCCTTACATGGATTCCAGTGATTGAATTCAGCTCATCAGTCTTATGCAGCAAGTGTTTTTACCTACTGAGCCATACCCTTGGCTCCCAAGTTTATTGTTTATATTTTGTGTATATTTTTGTGGGGGAGAGCACATGCCATGGCACATATGTGGAGGTCAGAAGACAATCTGACAGAGTTGATCTTTCCTTCTATGTAAGGGTCCTTAGGATCAAACTCTGAAGCCCCAGCCGTCCTGAAACTGGCTCTGTAGACTAAGCTGGTTTCAAACTCATGTAGATCCACCTGCCTCTGCCTCCCGAATAAAACTTGAAAAAAGTCGGGCGGTGGTGGCGCACGCCTTTAATCCCAGCACTCGGGAGGCAGAGCCAGGCGGATCTCTGTGAGTTCGAGGCCAGCCTGGGCTACCAAGTGAGTTCCAGGAAAAGGCGCAAAGCTACACAGAGAAACCCTGTCTCGAAAAACCAAAAAAAAAAAAAAAAAAAAAACTTGAAAAAAAAAATGAGAATAGGGCTGTGGAGATGATATAGTCACTAAAGTGCCTATCTGCAAACAGAAGAATCTGGGGATGGTGTGGCACGGACAGGCTCAGTGGCCATTTGCTAATCTATAGGTTTAGTGAGAGACATGTAGGGCCTCCAAAGGTAAGGTGGGGATTGATAGTAGAAAACACTTAACCTTTATCCTCCACACAAACAGTACCCACAAGGGATGGCTGGGCATGGTGATAGGTGCCTGTAATGCCAGTACTCCTATAGTCACAGGTGGGAGGCTGAAGCAAGCAGAGTTGAAGGCTGCATAGTGAGAGCCTGTGGCAAAAACTGTTGAACTAGACCATTTTCATGAAGTTAGTCATAGGGCCATTGTGTCTTTCTTTGTATTATACAGCTTGTTATTTGATGCCAGGTTTTATAGCATGTGCACTTGGTAGAGTATGTGTGTGTAACTTCCGTAGCATGAGTTTTTAGGTGATTGTGATGACAGGAAATATAACACCTGTATTCCCATCTCTGGTAGAGGCTCAGGAAGGACGATTGTTGGTTTGAGGCCTGGGCTACATGGCAAATTTCCTGGCCAGTGTGTAATGAGCAGTAAGACCCTGCCTGACTTAAAAATCTTACCCCACCACCACCGCCACCCCTTCAGTAATGTATGGTAATCTTTGTGTGGCTGGGATTTCAAATATTCAAAGTAATTTTTAGCTGGGCCATGGTGGTGCCTGCCTATAATCTTAGCCCTTGAGAGACAGAGAGGCAGGCAGATCTCTGAGTTCAAGGCCAGCCTGATCTACATAGTGGGTTCCAGGACAGGCAGGGCTACAGAGAGGAACTCTGGCTTGAAAAAAAGAACAAAAATAATTTTCAGTCTCTTCTTTGTCTTTGTGAACTTGGTCTGTGTTTTGTGTTTTTCAGGGAAGATTACTTTGCAAAAAAAAATGAAGAAAGAAAGCAGAGCAAAGTGGAAGCGAAGTTAAAAGCTAAACAGTAAGTGTTGAATTCATGTGACAGAGTTGAATTTCTTAAGCATTGATGAGTTTAGCTAGTGGTTCTGGGATGAGTTGATGATGAGCTTTGAGCCGAGTGGTAATGGGTCTGTCTGGATTGATAGTGAAATGTTGGCCTCAAGATACCTTGATAACCTGGAAGCCATGTTGCTGGTGTTGTAGGATCAAAAAAGTCTAAGGACTTGCTTAGATGATTAAGTGGGTTGGTGGTAGTTATCAAGATTATTAGAATTCTTATGTAGTTAAGTTTAAACATATTATAATCACAGCACATTTATTTTTAGAGAACATGAAGGAAGACACAAGTCAGGAAGTACTGAGACAGTAAGTATGATACCTAATACATGAGAGAATTTAAGTTAGAGTGTCTTCATGAAGTTGGTGTGTGTGTGTACAGTTGCATGCCACTGTAGTTGTGTGGACATCAGAGCACGGCAGCAAACACCTTTACCTGCTGGCCCCCTAGATTTTATTTATCTATAGATAAGGTCTTACCATGTTAATTTGGCTGGCCCCATAATTGGCTTTGTAGACCAGTTAGGCCTCAAACTTGGAGAGAGCCACCTGTTTCTGCGTTCCAGTTGCTGAGACTAAAGGTATGCCCCACTATACCCTGCTAAGATAACTTGTTTAAATGTTTTTTCTATTTTTTTAAAATAACTTATTTTACATCTGCAGTTTCCTCTCCCTCCTCTCCTCCCAACCCCTCCCCGTCTCCTCTCTGTTCCCACTCCCCCAATCAACTCCTCCTCTTCTTCTGTTTTAGAAAGGGCAAGTCTCCCATGAGTATCAATAAAACATGGCATATCAAGTTGCAGTAAGACTAAGCACCTCCCCTTGTATTCTGGTTAGTTGAAGAGACCCAGTATGAGGAGTAGGGTCCCTTAAAAGGCTGTAAAAGAATCAGGAGACAGCCTCTGTTCGCACTGTTAGGAGTTCCTCCTCCACAAGAGGACCAAGTTACACAATTGTAACATATATGCAGAGTGCCTAGGTCAGTCCCATGCAGGCTCCCTGGTTGTTGGTTCAGTCTGTGAGCCCCAGTGAACTGTGTGTGTGTGTATTTATTTTTTTAATTTTGTATGTGTGTTAGGTACCCTTGGAGGCTAGAAGAGGTTGTCCAATCCTCAAAAGTTAGGGTTACATGTATGAGTGGCATAGTGTGGCTGCTAGGAACTGAACTCAAGTCTTTGAAAGAACAGCAAGTGCAATTCCTGGCTCCTCTGAGAATACTTTTTTTTTTTAAGATTATTTTTTTTTATTTGGGTGTGTATGTGAGAATGTTTGCCATATGTATACAGGTTCCTGGGCTGGGCAGAAAAGAATGCCAGGTCCCCTGGACCTAGAGTTAAGGTGATTGTGAGCCATCTGAGCTGGTAACCTAACTTGGGTAGACTGGAGGAGTGGGAAGTGCTTTTTTGTTTGTTTTTTTTCTATGTTTTTTTTTCAAGACAGGGTTTCTCTAGTTTTGGTGCCTGTCCTGGATCTCGTCCCTATAGACCAGGCTGGCCTCAAACTCACAGAGATCCCCCTGGATCCTCCAGAGTGCTGGGACTAAAGGTGTGTGCTACCACCGCCTGGCCCTGGGAAGTGCTCTTAACCCCTGTGCTCTCTCTCTAGCCCCCTAGAATGAGTTTTTAAACTATGAGAACTTTACTGTGTGTGCATGTGTGGTGTTGGGAGTGGACCCTCAGTCCCCATGGCACCCATACCAGGTACACCACTTAGGCTGCTAGTCATATATAAGGACTTCTTAGAGAATGTGTGTAAGTGATTCTACCACTGTCATTGCATTAGTGGTACACAATATTATTAGCAGATAGTTATATTAAACTATCACCTTTAGAAGAAACTAAATAAAATAAAGGCATTGTAAAATAGGATGGCAAAGAAAAACACACTGTTATATTACATTAAAATAGCACTGACGTCTCTGTTTTCCTTAGTAGATACAGAATGGTGTGAGCCATTTTGTTGAGCTTGCCTTTAAGGAAACCTTTTGATGGTCTTGTATTATTTTTATAGAGATCTCTAGAAGGAAAGATGGGATGCTTACTGAAGTTTTCAGGTGACTTGGATGACCAGACCTGTAGAGAAGATTTACACATCCTTTTCTCAAATCACGGTGAAATAAAATGGATTGACTTTGTCAGAGGAGCAAAAGAGGTTTGTGAATATCTTTGTCCTTATTAGCAATCAGTTTAAAAGTCTAAAGAATGTTATCTGTTAGAAGAAAAAAGTACTAGGAATGGTCTTTTAAAAAAAAAATATTTAATAAGAAAGTATTATAAAGCATGTTGATTAAAATGGTTCCTACTTGAGTCATTTACTTTTGTCTTTAAGTCCTTTTTTCCAAGTCAGATGGGTAATGTGCTAACTTTGTAACAAGATTTGTAGGAGGCACATGTCATGAAAAGGCATGATGAACCAAAAAAAATAATAGTATAAATAACTTGGTGTCGGTGACTGGAGTTTACTTTCAAAGCATTCCTTCCTAATATTCAGTAAGATGCATTGAAAATAGTAATAACAACAGATGTGCTAGGTTAGGGAATGGCTTTGAGTAAAGAAATTGTAGATAATTTGACTACAAACTGAAGAGCGAACATTATTTTTCTCTTTGATGTGTAGGGAATAATTCTCTTTAAAGAGAAAGCTAAGGAAGCACTTGAGAAAGCCAGAAGTGCGCATAACGGTAACCTACAATTGAGGAACAGAAAGGTGACTTGGAAAGTACTAGAAGGACATGTGGAAAAAGAAGCAATGAAAAAAATCATGGAGGATCAGCAAGAATCCCTAAACAAATGGAAGTCAAAAGGAGGAGGAGGTCATTATTCTAATTTTTCACTAGTAGTTGGTTGTTTCACCTCATCTTTGCTTGAGAAAAATCTTTGAAGTTTTTGACTAAGTTCTCAATCCTGTTTCTACAGGCCGCAGATTCAATAAAGGAAAGGGGAAGGGAAACAGACCTGCCTATGGTGGGGCACCCAAAGGGAGAGGACACTTTCAGGGAAGGAGGCCCAGATTTGATGATGATGACCATCGACGCGGTCCAGGTAAGTCTTTCTCAAGGCTTCTGGGAGTGACGTCTGTACTTGATGGGACCTTATTTCGTGCATTTATGCTGTTTCACAAGTGAGAGGCTAGTTGGAAGTCTGTACTCAAGGAGAAAGAAGCCTTTCTTTCTGAAGGGAAGTTGCTAATTTTTAAAGTTGCTATTGTTAGTAATTGTAGTCAATATTAATACAGCAGTGGTTACATTGAATTTAACAAATTATTTGTGATTGTATAGGACCAATGAAAAGAGGGAGAGACGGAAGAGACAGAGAAGAACCTGCATCAAAACATAAGAAAAGAGAGAATGGTGCTAGAGACAAGTAGTTTAGTAAACCACATTTTTATTCATCTTAGTTAGATTTTAAGCTGCTTTTTGTCTTCGGAAGCTTTTAAAAAGAAAAGCGAATTAGGTCCACTTCAATGTCCACCTGTATAAAAGGAAAAAAATTTTGTTTGTCTTTTTGTTGTTATCCAAATGAAAGTTTTTTAAAAATGTATAGTTCTGTTTGTGTTTGGATGATTCAAATATGAAAAGGAAGATTCTTCCTCTTAATTGCCTTTGTAATATGAGAATGTATTAGTACAAACTTGTAAAATATATGCTGTATAAAAATAGCCAACCGTTTATTTTTATTTATTTTTTCTTTTTTTGCTCTTAAAACTTCACAAAGAACTTCAACTAGAATATTGACTGCTTTGAGTATGGGCTCTTTCCACAGTTGTCTAATTTCTCAGTCTGGCTTTCTATTTACCCATGCAACTTGCTAAGAGTGGAAAGAGTTATTGCAAAGCTTCTGAATACTGAATGTACACAGGCCACAATTGGGAAACTTACTGATTTCTTTTTATGAAAGTTGTATAATGCTGGCAGGTCATATCGAAGCTCTGTAAAAATACAAGCCAAACATTCACCTTTAAAGTGTTAAGTGCTGTACGCACAACATTTTTATAGTCATCACTTTGGACATATCTCAAATACTTATGTGTCAAGTTGTGTGTGGTGTTCCTGCTGTTTTGATCACTTACACCAAAATTTAAGGTTATGGAGAATAGTTAAAAGAATTAACAAGTGGGGAGGGGGAGTCCTATGAAAATAATATGTATCTATAGCTGACAATATTACGATATTCATGCTTCAGAAATTTCCTGTCCACAATTTAATAATGGTTAGTCTTAGTTATTTTTTCCACTAACAAAATGAAGGCTCAGTTTTCACATTGTTTCTAATTTATAACATTAATTCTCTACTTTCACTATTGACTATATATTCACTATAGTGATATGTTTTATAGATTCTAACCCTACAGGTCATAGCTTTCTATAATGTGTGATCAGGTCATCTAGGAATCTTGTTTAGCTGCCAACTAATTCTGTATAGGCTCTGAGGTTAAAGCTGATGGTGTGAAGACCACTTGTGGCGTAACAAAGGTCTGGATTAGTATACTATTGGGACTGTTATAACGTGCTCTGTTTACGTAAGGGACGACAACACCTAATACGGCAGGAAGACAGGTCTTTATGAACAATTCAGGTAGGTGCTTTAACACCATAGGACCAATTCTTGGTAAACTCATGGCTAGGCATGGTGGCATGTGTCTTTAATCCCAGGACTGGGAAGCAGAGGCAGGTTCAAGGCCTAGTCTATATAGTGAGTTTTAGGACAGCCAGAGACACACAGAGAAACCATGCCTCCAGAAAAATAAAAATGTTCTTTCATTGCACATTTCCCCCGTTTTCTCTTGTGCATACTGAGCAAACACAGTACCATACCCCAGTCTTTGTTTATTTCAAGCTTCTCAAAATTACTTGGTGACTTTTCTTTCTAATAGTTTTCCTGTTGGGATGTTGGCAAACTTACTCAACGTAGTAAAAACGGAAAAGAAAAAAAAAAGGCATCTCTTATTCCAGTGTGGATGTTTATATTCTGTCTCCCAACAGAAAAGGAAAGGTTGGTGGTGTTCAGCTATGTATCAGGCATAAATCGCTGGCATTTTCTTTTCCTTGTGTAGCCTTGGCTATCCTAGAACTAACTCTGTAGACCAGGCTGGCCTCGAACTCACAGAGATCCGCCTGCCTCTGCCTCCTGAGTACTAGGATTAAAGGTGTGTGCCACCGCCACCAGGCAATCGCTGGCATTTTCAAATAGTGGATTTCACAGCAGTCCTATCATGTCCAAGCCCATGTTTTTACTCACTTGTCAGGGCCTGGACAACCAAATACCATTGTTTTGTTTGTTTGTTTGTTTAGAAAATGCATAAATAGAGATAGACACAGGTAAACCTTGGTTAATGTTTATCCTGTGTTTAGTGCATTTCCAACCTACTACGGAACTGGATAACATTCCATAGTATTTGGCCTTTTAAATAATTAGGTTTGTACCTGGGTGATGGTGGCTCATGCCTTTAATCCCAGCATTGGGAGGCAGAGGCTGGTGGATCTCAAGAGTTCCAGGACAGCCTGATGTACAGAGTGAAACCCTATCTTGGAAAAAAAAATAATTAGGGTTGAGATAAAGCTTACCTGCAATAATTTCTATTTTGATTTTCCATTCTGCAGCTTTCTTTTGAATATGCTAAAGACAAATAATATTTTCATGAGTTGATATTAAGATATGATCTGCTAATGTTTGAGATTAAAATTTTAAAATTTTCAATAAAATTAGACTCAGAAATTTTAATTATATGCACACTTTTAAAAGCCAGGAATAAAGTGATCTTACTGTTTAGCATCTGAACCAAATTATGTAATTGAAAACTGAAATATCCATCAAAATCTGTAACATACACAGTGTAGCTTTATTTCATTAGGGAGTAACAGTTCTATGTTCACAGGCCATTCAGTGGCAGGATGGTAGAGAAAAGCATGGTATGGAGCCAAGTCTTTGGAAGTGCAGTCCTTCTACTTAGTACCTAGCTGTAGGCAGCCCTGGCTAAATTATTCATTCTGGACCTACCTCATTTTCCTCATCTGTTGAACAATGTGATTTGATCAGAATGAAGTGTTCTAAACAGTGCTCCTACACAGCACCAGAAACATTAGCTATAAGTCTAAATTCTTGAACCTCTTCACAAATAAAGGTTAACTCATGTATGTATAGTACTCCAGAAAGGTGAGATGTTGAAATTTGGTATTACATACATTTTGGCCATATTGGTAGTCATCTTTAATTGGCATCAAATTGATAAAATACTTTCCCCAATAGTTTAGGTTCAAAAATTTCAAATATTAAAACTTTTTGTCTATTAATATGTGTGTCATCATCATCATTCCCCCCCCCCCCCCCCCCCCCCGCCCCGCCCCAAATGAGTTCTGGGTGTATTTCCTTCCACTGAAGATCATGAGTTTAGGGGCTAGAGAGATGCTCAATGGTTAGGTGCATTTGCTGTGTAATCGTGAGGACTGGAGTTAAGACCCTAGTTCCCACAAACGCCTCTAACTCCATTTACGAGGGGACAGATAAGAAGATTGCTGGGGTTTGCTGGCTTCTAGGTTTTTTCCTGGAGAGCTCGAAGCATTCTCTTCTGGCCTCTCTGCATACATAGCTGTTGATCCTCCCTCCTCCCTCCACACAGCTCCATAACACAAAGCCTTAGACAGTTACTTTAAAAAAAAATCAAAAACCATGTTGGACTTCGGTAGGATATAGACATTAACAAATGATGGTATTTTCATTTCGTGGAATCTTAGGATCCTTGACAAATTTGTGAGGAATGGGTTGTGGCACTGCATTGAATGCTAAGGCTGGTGAAATTCTATCATAGTGTATGGTTTGTTGTGGTAGAGATGTAAAAGAATGAGTGGGGTAAGTGGGATAAATACCGAAAGCAGTCCCACGCTTATCTCTTCCACTACTCTGTTACGTCTATGAGCAAAGGTGCAAAAGTTCTCCCCATGCTGCATGAGGTTAAAAAAAAAAAAAGCCGGGCAGGTGGTGGTGGCGCACGCCTTTAATCCCATCACTCGGGAGGCAGAGGCAGGCTGATCTCTTGTGAGTTCGAGGCCAACCTGGTCTACAGAGCAAGATCCAGGACAGGCACCAAAACTACACAGAGAAACCCTGTCTCGAAACCCCCACCCCCCCAAAAAAAGGTTGAGGCACAATCTGCTACTTTTTAAAAATTTGTTTTTTATCAATTACATCAAATCTATGAACAGTATGTCAGGTACTTTTAATGAGCAGTAAAGGGCTGTCTTAATATTTAAAGAAAACTCATTCTTCCCAGTGTATACAGTACTCACCAGATCAATCACTTAAATTGGTTACTTTTCTAAAGGAAATATTTTTGCCCTAAGTGAAAAGCTTAATTAAATCTGACAAAATAATGCTGATAATTCCCCCCCCCCCATGGGGGGAATGGCAATACCAAACAGCAAAGATGGAATTAACTAAATTATATTTATTTTTAAGATTTGTCTTGTACCACATGTGCCTGGTGCCCTCAGAGGCCAGAAGACAGCATTGCATCTCCTGGGACTGGAGTGACTGGAGTCATCATGTGGGTACTAGGAATTGAACCCAGGTTCTTTGCAAAAGCAACCAGCGCTATTTATTAACCATGAAGCCATCTCTCTAGGCCCTTTACCATTTTTAGGTGTGTGGGTGTGTATGGATATATGAACATTGAGTACAGGTATATATTCAAAGGCCAGAGGCATTAGATCTCCTGACTCTGGAGTATAGACTTGTGAGCTGACTCATATTCTCTGCAAATGCAGCAAGTATTCTTTATTAACTGAGTCCCCCTCTCCAGCCCAATGACGGTTGATTTTAATTGTCAGTTTGATATGCTCTAGAATCCCTCGGGAGAGATCTCAGGGATTATCTAGATTGTTTGCCTGTGGGTAATAATTCTTTGTTTAGTCATTTTAGTCTGGTTTGCCTATGTGTGTATCTGTGCTGTCAGAAAAAAGCATCAAATTCCCTAGTACTGGAGTTATGGATGGTTGAGAGCCATCATATGGGTGCTGGGAATTGAACCTGTGGTCCTCTGCAAAAGCAACAAGAGCTCTTAACAAGAGCTGTCTTTCCTGCCCCCAGGAGGATTGTTTTATGTTAATTAAAGTGAGAAGAGAGCCCAAGCCTGTTTGGGCAGCCATTCCCTGAGTTTGGATCCTGAACTGTTTAAGTGTAGAGAACAAGCTAGACACTGACAAGCAGGCATGCGTTCTTTTCTCCTGCTCCTGTCTCTAATGCTTGGAGTTCCTGCCTTGACTTCCTGCTAGGATAAACTAAAACCTGGAATTGTGAGCCAAAATAAACGCTTTCTCCTCTAGGTTGCTTTTGTCAGGATATTTTATGATAGCAAAAGAAAATGAGTAATACAGGAATTGAACTTAGGTTGACAGGCTTACTGGCAAGCACCTTTATTGGTTGAGTCATTTTGTTGACCTACTTAAATTTTTTTAAGACAGGGTCTCATGTATCCCAGTTTGCCTTGAAACTCCTCATGAAGCTCATACTTCTGTCTTATTTCTTGAATGCTGGATTATATTATTATTATAGGGGTGTACCACCAACTCTGGTCTATGCTGTGATGGGACTTAAATCTAGGGCTTTGTGAGATGGTCTGGTGTGTACAAGCGTAGCCTTTTTTGTTTGTTTTGTTTTTCGAGACAGAGTTTCTCTGTGTAGCTTTGCGCCGTTCCTGGATCTTGCTCTGTAGACCAGGCTGGCCCCAAACTCACAGAGATCTGCCTGCCTCTCGCTCAAGTGCTGGGATTAAAGGCGTGTGCCACCACCGCCCGGCTAAGCCTACCCTTTTGTAATTAAAGATGATCTGAAATTTATCATCCTCCTGCATCCACCTCCCAAATGATGGGGTTATAGGCATGTACCAACAAGCAGTGTTACACTTGTACAGGGCCTATTAGATTATCATATACCCAAAATGTATTCCGTTGACCTGGATTTCTTTTTGCTGTGGGTGCATGTGTGTACATGTATATATGTACATGGCATGTAGAGGTCAGGTGGTTCTTTGTTTCTTTCTCATTTGTTCTTTTTGAGACAAGTGTGGGTGAAGACAAGGAGGTTGGAAAGAGGGCTCTGCAGTTAACAGCACTTGCTGTTCTTCAGAAGACCTGGGTTAAATTCCCAGCACACTTGGCAGATCACAACTATCTGTGACTCCAGTCCAGGGGATCTGATGCATTCTATGGATCTGTGGGCACGAGGCACACATGTTGTGCACAGACATACAGGCAAAACACTCACACATAAAACATCTGTATATATGCAATTTCAGGTAAGAATAGTAGATAACAACTAGCAATTAAATATGTCGACACAGATGTAAGTATTTCATAAATGTGCCACACATGGACCTAAGTTTCATAAATATTAACTCATTTAATCCAGAAGAGTGTACAAAGTACAGCCTGTTCTTATTTCCCAAGAATACAGGACAGGGTCATGCAGTATAGATGATGGCACTGAAGCTCAGTGCCTTGACCAGGATCACAGCTAGGATGCAGTGTTTATGTGTTAGTCCAGGGTAGCTGGGGTCAGTGTCCTGAATTACATCTTGTACATGGTATTATAGGTGCTATATGCTGGCAGAAACAATAATGGAGGTCTTTTTCTCTAACATATTGTGTGGCATGTGTCTGAATATTCTACAGCACGTGGTTCTAGAGATCACATTTGGGTAGGCTTCCTTGGCAAGCAAGCCAATCCCTTGCCCACTGAGCCATCACCCCAGCCTAGGATAGGTGGTTTCTGAACTCAGACCTATTTTGCTTTAGGCCATGTTTTTAAAAATCGACTGTTGGGAAGCGGGGCGGTGGTGGCGCACGCCTTTAATCCCAGCACTTGGGAGGCAGAGGCAGGCGGGTCTCTGTAGCCTGGTCTACAAAGCGAGTTTCAGGACAGCTAGGACTGTTTCACAGAGAAACCCTGTCTCTAAAAATCAAAACAAAAAAATTCAACCCTTGGGCCAGTGAGATGGTTCAGTGGGTAAAGGTTGCTTGCTGCCAAGCCTGATGGATCCAAGATCCTCAAGGTGAAGAGAACTGATTCCTGGAGGTTGATCTCTGACTTCCACATGTGTGCCCTGGCACATGCATGCTCACATACATATGTGAAAATAAATCAGTAAATAAAAAGAAAAAATGAAATTTAAAATATATATACACACACATATATGTTGGTTTTTCGAGATAGGGTTTCTCTGTAGCCCTGGCTGTCCTGGAACTTGCTGTGTAGACTAGGCTATCCTCAAACTCTTGAGATCCACCTGCCTCTGCCCATCAAGTGCTGTGATTAAAGGTGTGTGCTACCACTGCCTGGTTAAAAATAACAAGATTATGGTTTAAGCTTACTTCTCTAGTTGAGGATTTGTGTAAAGAATATACCGCTGTTCTTGCCATTTCCAAAGCAGTCTTCAGAAAAGCCATATCTGTCCCTGTGAAGAGTAAAAAAGAAAATTCCTATTTATATTCTGTATTTCTTAGCAGAGTAGATTAAATGAATAGGAATTAAGTAGCATTTTTTCGAAACTCCAAAGTTTCTACTTCAAATACGGCACCAGTAAAATATTCTGACAGAACAATGGCTGGAGCTGGATCACTAGCTCAGCAGTGAAGAGCTAGTTTGCTCTTTTAGAGCACCCACATGGGGGCTCACAACCATCCATATTCCAGATCCCAGTTTACAAGTAACTGACATCTTCTGACTTCCTCAGACACACAAAGCTACACACAAACATAGGCTAAACCCTCATAGATAAAAATAATTCTAAAAACCTTAAACAAAAACACTATGGGCTAGCAGGGCTGGAGAGATGGCTCAGTGCTTAAAAGCACTGGCTGCTCTTCTAGAGGACCCAAGTTTGATTCCCAGCAAATGTAGCAGAAGTTCCTCTGGTTCCACATGGCCCCAAGTTCCTGTAGCTGCTTATAAAATAGTCACTCAGAGGCTTATATTAATTACCAACTGTATGGCCTATGACAGGCTTCTTGCTAGCTAGTTCTTTCATCTTAAATAACCTATTTATCTGTATCGCCATGTGTTCTGTGACTTTACCTGGTTGCTCCTTGGACAGCAGTTTGGTATCTTCCCCTAATCTCCTTTCTCCTCTCATTATCTCTTTTGGATTTTCCTGCCTGGCTCCATCCTGCCCTGCTATAGGCCAATGCAGCTTTAATTACTAACCAATGGGAACAGCATATAGTCACTGCCTACAAAAAGACACCCTACAGCAGGCAACCACGTGATGGCCCATAACTGTCTATAACAGTTCCAGGGGAGCCAATGTCTTTGCCTTTTTGGGTACTGCACACATATGGTGCAAAGACATTCAGGCAAAACACCTATATACAGAAGTAAAATAAAAATAAATCTAAGCTAGGTGTGTTGGCACATACTTTTAATTCTAGAACTCAGAAGGCAGAGGAGGGAATTTGAAGCCAGCCAGGTCTACACAGTTCCAGGAAAGCCCGAACTACATAGTAAGACTCTGTCTCAAGTAAATCTTTAAAATAAAATCTAATAAAACCAAAATTAGGCTGTTTGGTTAGAAAAAAAATAGGACTAATGCAAATTTTAATATTCTAAGTGACTTAGAGGAGAGGATGAAGAATGCAAAGTAGTTATAGTAATCTTAGTGGTGTTGGCTTAAACTGCATGTTTTCTTCTTTTTCTTACTGACTTCCTATCTTGCCCACAGTACACACACAACCACAGTAAATTCCTATGGGCATATTTTGAAACTCAAAGGCATTAATAACAAGTTTTAGAAGCTGAGAGTATCTGGCTTAGTGATGGGTAGCATGTGCTCAGCGTGTGTGAGATCCCTGTTTCAGTACTTTAATTCCTACAAACAAAAAGAAAAATCTAGTTTCTAAAAGAATATGTTTTCAAAGTTTCATAAGCATGGAGGTGAATCAGATCATTCCAGTTATTAATCAGAAATGATAAGATACATTAACACAAACCTATGAAAATAAAGATTAAAGTTTCCCATCAAATATGAATTTTAATAAGTATAAAAGTGATTGGCTAATAAACAGTAATAATAAAATCACTTAACCCAGATCACTGCTCTATAAATATATGAATTTACTGGATTTTTATTACTAACCTTTGTTATTTTTGGTTCCAAAGGGAGGATTCATAATTACTGTATCAAATAATTTGAACATTCTGTTTGATAATGAGTGCACATCACACTGGATCATATCAACATTTGTTAATTCAAATTCTTCCACATTCCTATTAAATATTTCCAATGCATCTTCATCTATGTCAAATCCAACACACAACCTATAAATATAAAATAAAAAAGACAACTTACAAGTTCCTAGTAAAAAAGTTCCTAGTTATTTTACAATGCAGTTTTCAACCCAATTAAAGTTTTTTTGTTTTTCTTTTGTTTGTTTTGTTTTTCAAAACAGAGTTTCTCTGTGTAGTCCTGGATGTCCTGGATCTCGATCTGTAGACCAGGCTGGCCTCAAATGCACAGAGATCTACCTGGCTCTGCCTCCCAAGTGCTGGGATTAAAGACCTGCCCCACCGCCTGGCTTGATTTCTTTCTTAAAAGTAAAGTTTTGATCTTCAGCCTACTCAGAATGTACTCAGTATCAAGTTCTCACCCTACTTATAGAGTCCTATGATTATAGTGCTGCTGATCCTATATACATTTACTGAAGCCACACCATATCCAAATAGCAAAAAAGGATCACTTACCCTGCTCCTAACATGGCGGCCCCGATGCTAAGTACTCCACAACCACATCCTAGATCTGCAACCACTTTATTTTCAATGTCATCATATGTATTATGGATTGTATAGAGCATGCATGCTAAAAACAGTAAAAATCAAATAGAATGTTAGTGAATAAGCTAGCAAACTTATTACTAATGTCTAATGCAAGTGACTCTAAAACAATGTCTTCCCACAGCATGTAGCTCCAGATTATTTGTTTTCCAGTTTATTTTCTAAAGATGCAATGTAATAACTTGGTATTTAGGAAGAGGGGCCACAAAGGAAGGTAATATACACCAGTGGTTCCCAAAAACTATAGGACTTTGTCAAGTTTCTGCTGACAGTGACAAGACTGGAAACATTTCAAAACATCTGCTCGGCACAGATACATAGATGCGGTTTTCCCTTTGATGAGATATGTTGATGAAAAACTAAGTTTTATGAACGATTAAATAAGTCTACCATTCTTGGTCAAAATATAAGTTTAGTGACCCTGTATTATGTCTCCAAAACTATTTTGAAATTTTATTGATCTGATGCTGGCAACATGGCGCTCAGTGGGCAAAAGTACTCGATTCAAAGCCGAACAACCCAAGGTCAATCTCCAAGACAGGTATGGTGGATGGAAGTAAATAACCAACTGCCAGAAGTTCTCCTCGGATCTTAATGAGGACCAAGACTTGTGCAACCCCCAATAAATAAAGGGCACAGAACTTATTTGTAGTATGTTTATTACCAGAATATGGGTATCACAAACTTCTACATCCACAATATAGACTTAGAGATGCTGGTTTTTTTTTTGTTTTTGTTTTTTTTTAAATTTGTTGTTTTGCCTACATGGATGTGTACCATGTGTCTGGTACCCACAGAGGCCAGAAGATACTAGATACCTCCTGGGATTGGAGTTACAGACAGTTGTGAGCTGCCATGCAGGTGCTGAATTGAACCCTGGTCCTCTAGAAGAGTAGCTAGTGTTCCTAACTGCTGAGTCATCTCTTCATCCAAACTTAGATGTAATATCAATAGATACACATATTCATAACCTATAACAGACCTGATAACAGAACAAATGATCAGGGCAGAAATAGCTGAGATTACATAAAGTTCTTAAATATAAGACTCTCAAAAATACAGTATATTAAACATGAATAACACCATCAATTTTTCCTTGTGTATATCAGAACTCAAGAAAGACTACTAGCTCTTCCAGAGGACCCAAGTTCAATTCCCAGCACCCACATGGTGGCTCACAGCTATCTTTAACTCCAGGATCTGACACCCTCACACAGACATATACGCAGGCAAAACACAAATGCACATAAAGTGAAAATAAATAATTTAAAAACAAAGAAACTCTGTCTCGAAAAAAAATCTAAACAAACATCAACCCCCCACCAAAAAAAAAATCCATAGGGCTGGAGAGTTGGCTCATTGGTTAGGAGTACTGGGTTTGATTCCCAGCACCCACACGTTGGTTCACAAACACTTGTAACTCCAATCTCTGACCTCCATAGGCACCAATCACATATGTGGTGCCCATACATACATGTAGGAAAAAGTTATAAAATAGTAAATAAACATTTTTAAAAAACCAACTATGGAATATTTGACTACTATTGCAGGTACTTTGAAACTCTTATCATGAGCACATTACAAACTAGGTGTGAAAGGACTGAGGTTTCGGGGGGGAGGGGAGTTTTCAGGACAGGGTTTCTCTGTGTAGCTTTGCGCCTTTCCTGGATCTTGCTCTGTAGACCAGGCTGGCTTCGAACTCACCGAGATCTGCCTGTCTCTGCCTCCCAAGTGCTGGGATTAAAAGACAGAGTTTCTTTATGTAGTTTTGGTGCCTGTCCTGGATCTCGCTTTGGAGACCAGGCTGACCTTGAACTCCCAGAGATCCGCCTGGCTCTGCCTCCTGAGTGCTGGGATTAAAGGCGTGTGCCACCACCACCTGGCTCAAGAACTGATATATTTACTTATTTATGTATTTATTTGTTTTGAGACAAAATCTCATTATATAACCCTAGCTGGCCTGGCTATGTAGTCCAGGATGGTCTTGAATTCACAAAGACCTACCTACCTGCTTCTGACTCCCAAATGCTGGGATTAAAGGTATCTTCCACCATACCTGGCCTCGAATTTTTATCTTTTAAAAATCAGATTTCGCCGGGCGGTGGTAGCGCACGCCTTTAATCCCAGCACTCGGGAGGCAGAGCCAGGCGGATCTCTGTGAGTTCGAGGCCAGCCTGGGCTACCAAGTGAGTTCCAGGAAAGGCGCAAAGCTACACAGAGAAACCCTGTCTCGAAAAACCAAAAAAAAAAAAAAAAAAAAAATCAGATTTCATGACAAAACCCTATAACCAGAAGGCTGTAAGAAGGTACACTGAGAAAGCCAGGGACTTGCTTGGTAGGTGGCTGGCTCAGTCTGTACTGTTCTTACCCTGCAAGCATTAGAACCTGAGTTCAGATCCCCAACAGTCATGTAAAAGGCCAGCACTAAGGGGGACAAGACAGGGTGGTCTCTGAGGCTTGCTGGTCAGCCTTTTGGGCGAATGGGTAAGTTCTAAGTACAGTAAGACCCTGACTCAAAAAAAAAAAAAAAACTTATGGAGAGCAATTGAAGAAAACACCCAGTGTTGACTTCTGCCCTCCACACATGCAGACACACAAACATATGCACACTAACACGAAATAGAGAAATCTGGTCTTAATCTGAACAGTTTAATGCAAATCTTTGGTTGCAGCTATGACAATATTTTAGAGTTAAACACATGTATTCTCCATGAGTTTTATTGGCAGCTTATGAACAACTATTTTGGAATTGAAAGATTCCCCCTTGCAGGTACTCCCAAAGGAATTTGGTTTTCTTCCCTGCTACTCTGTATTCTCTCCTACATTTTCAGTATTGAACTTTGGCATCAAGCAAGAGGCAATTTGTTAAAAATCAAAAGGCACCCTCAACTTTACACAAGCACGTAACTGTGGTTTCTATGTATCTACAAGACAGACACAACACAGGAATCCTTGTCCTTGATGTCAGTAAGGAATTTATCCATGTTAAGCAAATATGTAGTGAGCTCCTAACTGGTACCAAGACTCTCTAGACAATGAAAATTCAGGTATGAACAAGACTAACAAAATTCCTTGATCCTAATCATTTACAGCGTGATGAAAGAAACATAAATAAATGAATGAATAAATAAATAAATAAATAAATAAATAAATAAATAAATAAATAAATAAATAAATAAAAGCTGTATGACACTCGGAAAAACAGTAAAAAAGATAGTGTGGTAGAGTTGGGCGGATCTGTATGTTGTAATGTCAAAAACCTACTTCTCTAGAACATCGTTAGATCCAAATCACTACTTATTTTCATCACGAATTGGACAGGAATAACCCCAGAAGAGGGCACGATGAACCAGCCGCCCTACCTGCAATGTGCGGCCTGGTGGGATACTGTTCTAGAAGTAACTTGGGTTTTTCGAATCCATCCACTTCCTGCAGGCGACTCTCTAGTTCCTTAAGCCTTAACTTCTTCATTGTTTTTATATTAAAGTCTGGGCTCCGAGGGCTTCACAGCACAGGACCTGCCGGGAAATCTACCTAACCGGACCTCTCCAGGGGCGCAGGCCGGGGGCGGGCAGACCATTTAGGATTCAGCGAGGGAATCCCACAGACCTCTCGAGGATCGCCGCGCCGCTCGCGGCAGCGAAGAGATGCAGGAACGCCCGACGCACCCCTTGACGTCCGCGCGGGCCCTCCCGCAGCGCCGGAAGCGCCAGCGCGCACGCGCACACTCTGCCGGCGCCGAGCTGCAACCTCGGCCCGGTGCGGGGGTTCCGCCTGGGAGGCATCGGAAGAAGTGGCCTTCGTGGGCGGTGGCGGACCAGCCTCGACCTCCCCTGGGAACGCCAGCTTTGTCTTGAGCACCTGTCGCCGTCCAAAGCTTGGGGAAGAGTTGAATATGGGACACTAGGCCAGTGTGACCCTTTCTCTGTGTTTCTCCCACGTCTCCGAAAGGAGCGATCTACACCCACTCGGGCGTCCTTCTCCATTCGAATGCTCGGCCTTAACTTCGTGTCCCTGTTCCTGAAGCATCGTGTTTCTTTTTCTTTTCTTTCCTCTTTTCTTTCTTTCTTTTCCCATTTCTTTTTCTTTTTTTCTTTTTCTTTCTTTTTTCTTTCTTCTTTTTTTTCGAGACAGGATTTCTCTGTGTAACAGACCAGGCTGGCCTCGAACTCACAGAAATCCTCCTGGCTCTGCCTCCTGAGTGCTGGGATTAAAGGCGTGCGTCACCACTGCCCGATCTGACATCATGTTTCTTAACAGTGATGTCAGTGAAGCCAGAAGGAAAGAAAAGTCAAAAGAGAGTTTAAAAGAACGAGTACGTCAGCATGAGTAGCATACATTTTAGTCCTAGTACTCAGGAGGATCTCTGAGTTCGAGGCCAGCCTGGTTTACATAGAGTTCCAGGCCAGCCAGGGCTGCACAATAAACAAATAACATAGTTGTGGTATCAAATGAGGGAAACGTGATAGGACTTGTTAAACCGGGAGCAGAAGTTGTGGATTATGGAGAAAATGAAGTAGGCACATAACAGCAAATTTTAAAAATAATTATTGTTGTCGTTTAAAAGTGGCGAGGAGTCACGCCATACAACAGGGTCCACGTAGGAGGTTTATTAAGGAGAGGGGGAGAGAAGGAGGCAGAGACTGGTTCCCAGGGACAAGAGCGAAGGAAGAGAGGGGAGGTGAGTAAGGCCCACTTTTTGTAAGGAAACTTAGAGAATGCTCAGAACGGGTGCTCTTAGTAGCTCCAGCTGAAGATATATCTTGTCAGAACCCTAAGGGCAGGCCAGTACAGATGCCTAAATGCTAACGATTATAATTATGAAAAGAAGAATGAAAGTGATTGATGCTTAGTAAGGCCATTATTGCCATTATTAGTTGTATTTTATTTATTTGAACCCAGGACTTTGTGCATGTTTGGCAAGCTATCTACTTACTACTGATCTGCATTCCTAAACCCATCATCATCATCACCATCATAATCATCATTATCACCACTGTCTAGGAGAGAGCTGGGGAGTGGTGACGCACACCTTTAAATCCCAGCACTCAGGAGGCAGAGGCAAGCAGATCTCCGTGAGTTTGAGGTCAGCCTGGTCTACAGAGCAAGTTCTAGGACAGCCAAGAACAGCTAAGGCTACACTGAGAAACCCTGTCTTGAAAAACCAAAAATAAATAAATAAATAATGCAGGAATGGAGGTGGTGGTGCCATACACTACTAGGCTATGCTGAAGAAACAATGACAAGTGAATCTTTGTGAGGCCAGTCTGGTGCATGCAGAGAGTTCCAGGCCAGTCAAGGGTTATGTATAGACCCTGTCTTAAAAATAAATGAATAAATAAATAGAAGCTGGCAAGATAATAATAATGTTATGTTTACATATGAATATACAATAGATTCCATTTGATTTTTTAAAAAGATTTATTTATTTATTATGTATACAGCATGTATGACTGCAGGCCAGAAGAGGGCATCAGATCTCATTACAGATGGTTGTGAGCCACTAGGTGGTTGCTGGAAATTATATATAGAGGGCTAGGGTGTAGATCAGTAGTAATACAGTACTTTCTTAGCATACACAGGATTCTGGGTTTGATTCTCAGCACCACAGACATGATTCTGTGTATCTTTTTACTAACATGTAAAAATGGGTTAAAACGTGACATTGACCCATAGATTAATTCCAAGAGATAATAATGTTGAGAATGAAGCTAGGGTAGTGGTCGGTTACAATAGAGCAAAGGGAGATAAATGTCTGGTGGATTATTGGCAATAAAATGTACATTATAACAGTAAGGAGTTAATTACGGAGAATGCTGTTTTCCCTTTTCAGTTTAAAATGTATTTACTTACTGTGTGTGTGTGTGTGTGTGTGTGTGTGTGTGTGTGTGTGTGTGTGTGTTCATGAGTGCTGACCTCCACACACATTCACTATGCAAAGGTCAGAAGACAACCCACAGGAGTTAGTTCTCTTTTTCCACCTTGTTGGTTCTGGGGATTGAACTCAGGGCCTTAGGCTTGTTGGCAAATGCCTTTACCCTCTGAGCCATCCCCCTAGTTCAGGAAGCTGCTTTTCTATTGTCAAAACTTAAAAAAAATGTAGACCAAGATCATTTGATCTATACAGAGCATTCATAAAAGGGGTTAAACCTTATGGGCAGGTACTATTTTTTGTTTGTTTGTTTGTTTCCTTTTTTTAAGAAGGGGGTCTTGCTATGTAGCTGTGACTGGCCTGGAAGTAGCTATGTAGACCAAGCTGGCCTCAAATGTATGACAATCCTCCTTCCTCTGCTTCCCATGTCCTGAGATTACAAGTGTTAGCCACTACACCCATGCATTAGTTGGTGGGTTAGTAAAAATGTGTGATTACTTCTGTGGAATAAACACTGTTCCAATGGTAATCGCATCTACTTTTTAAAAAATATTTATATTATTTTTATGTGTATGGGTGTTTTCCTGCATGTATGTCTCTGTACCATGTGCATGCCTGGTGCCTGCAGAGATCAGAAGGGGGCATTAGATTCCCTGGGGCTGGAGTTGTAAGCCTCCATGTGAGCACTGGGAATTGAACCTGGATCCTTTGGCAGGGCAGCCTGTGCTCTTAACCACTCCAGCATCTCTACAGCTCCAGCATCTCCTTCAGATATACAATCCCTTCCTCTACACAGTTCACCAGGTACTTGGAGAAACCAAAAACAAACATTTGAAAAATCTAAGAACAATTGATGGCATCTTTTTAGACTCTAAAGTTTAGAGTATCTAAAGCTTAAAGAAATACAAGCTAAAAAGTTTTCTAAAAAATGCACATCTTAACATTACTATGAAAATAATCTTGATATTTGTGGACTCCTGGAAAGTATGTTGGGGTTCCACTAAGATCTGCTGACCTTACTTTAAGAACTGGTTAGTAGACTGGTAAGATGGCTCAGCAGTTAAGAGCACTGGCTGCTCTTCAAGGGGACCCAGGTTCAATTCCCAGCACCCACCTGGCAGCTCACAACTGTCTGTAACTTCAGTTCCAGGGGACCTGACATCCACACACCAGTGTCCCCACTCCTGTCCCTGGTTTTTTGGAAATCATCACCTTAGGTTATACATAATATAATCTGTGTACAAAAAATATGAATCCTGAAAGAGATCATCATAAGTGATCCCTCCAGAATTCTAGCTTAATTCCAGAGAGCTGGATCTATGGCAAAATAAATTAGGATAGCCAAGAGTTACAGTGCTGTAGAAGATCAATCCACAGAAAGCCAGACTGCTTTCAACCCATTACCTAGTGTTAGAAACACTCTGAACATAATTCATTCATGCCCCAGCCTTGTATATCGTGAGTAAAACATTTCACAATCATCAGTTAACAGTGATACATAATTTAAAGTTTGTTCAATATTTCTCCTAATGGATCATCAAATTATAACCCAAATAAGGGGCTGAAGAAATGGCTCAGCAGTTAAGAGCACTTGATATTCCAGAGGACTTGGGTTCGGGTTCCAGCACTCACACGGAGGCTCACAACCATCTATCTGTAACTCCAGTTCCAGGGGATTCGATGTCCTCATCTGGCCTCTGAGGGTATTGAATGCACATAATGCACAGACATTCATGTAGATAAAACACCCAAACACATAAAATTAAAAAGTAAATAAAAATTATTTTGGAAAACCCAGCTGGGTGTTGTGGCCCACACCCTTAATCCCAGCATTTGGAAGGTAGAGGCAGGTCAACCTCTATGAATCTAAGGCTAGCCTGGTCTATATAGTAGGTTTCAGGCCAGCCAAGAGCTACATAGTAAGACCCTGTCTCAATAAAACAAAACAACAACAAACAAACACCCCCCCCCCAAAAAAAAAAGACAAATAAAATCTAGGAACACTTTCAAGTGCTAACTGTGTAGAAATAGTGTGTCTTCCAGCACACACTGATCAGAGTCTGTGAGTGAAAGCATGTACTGACCAGTGTGTGTGAGCTCACAGAGGCTATCTAGTGAGACCTTACTCAGGGTCAGAAAATCTGGACTTGCTTTACCCACCAGGGCTGCCATAAGGAGATGATTTGGCCGGTGTTTGGAGGGGTCTACACTTGGCTGTACAGTGTGCTTTGATCTTGCAAGGGGGAGGTCTTTTGCCTCTCCACTTGGCATATTATAAAAAGCCCTTTTCAGTGAAGGATGAGATTGTTGGGTATTGATCCAGGCCCTCCAGAAGCTATTCTGTGTTTCTGTTTTTCTGTTCATCGGCCAGGTCTCTCTTTCTATCTATTTCCTCATTCCTCTCACCTCCACCCAAGAACCCTTCAAAAGGTGGGAGCTGGACTCTCACAGATATGTGCTGGTTTCTCTATAGGACCACATTCCTGTGGAGAAAAACAAGGGCTTTTGCTCTGCTTATACACGATAATGCCTGCTGACAAATGCAGCCTTTCCACATTCTTCAGGAGTCTCCACCCATTCATGCATTTCTACAAAATCCTAACACTTATCATCCACCTCCTCAGCACTGGAGCAGCAAAAATAAGAATGAATGTTTAAATGTCACCTGCCCTTTTCAGTTGCAGGGACATAGCAGTACATGTACAGAGATCTGGGTACTTACCAGGTTTCTTACCCGTTCTGGTCATGATCTCAAAATCAGAGAACCATTCAATATAGTCATCA